GGGGGAGAGGGAGAAGCAGGCTTCCCCGCAGAGCAGGTAGCCCGATGCGGGGCTCGATCCCAGGACCCTGGGATCATGACCTGAGCCGAAGGCAGATGCTTAATGACTGAGCCACCCAGGCGCCCCACGTAATTTTTAAAATAGGAACAGAGAAGCCAGATGACATAACTGGCATTGTTGAGAAAATACCAGTATGCCACCTACCATAGAAAACCTGATACAGTGATTCTGCTTTGAGAAATTTGTCCCTCCTATGAATTATCAAGTCCTATGTTTCTATTATGGTACTTAACAGTCCTGGGGATTATATGGGAGCAACAAAAAGATTCACCCTCTCCCTCCCCTGCCAATAATACAGACCCCACACACTTGAAAAATAAGATCATCTGGGTATGGCAATTCCTCAAAAATTAAATAATTACCATATGATCCAGCAATTCCAGTTCCGGGTATATACCCAAAAGAAGTGAAAGCAGGGATTTGAAAAGGTATTTGTGCAACCCATGTTTATAGAAGCATTATTCACAATAGTTAGAAGGTGGAAAAAACCCAAGTGTCTATGGATAAAATGTGTTATATACAAACAATAGGATGTTACTCCACTTTAAAAAAAAATTGACATGCTACCACATTGGATGAACCTTGACATTACTGCTGTGTGAAACAAGCCAGTCACAAAAGGACAAATATTGTATGATCCCACTTATATGAGGTACCTAGAGTAGTAAGAGACATAATGGCGGTTTCCAGGGGCTGGCAGGAAGGGGAAATGAATTAGTGTTTAAATGGGTACAGTTTCAGTGGGGGAAAATGAAAAAGGTTTGTAGATGGGTGGTAAAGATGTTTGCACAACAGTGTGAATAAACTTAATGACATTAAACTGTACACCTAAAAATGGTTAAAATGATAAATATTGTTGCATATTTTTTACCACAATAAAATCATCTGAAATTTGTAAAATAAGCATAATGGCTCAGCAAATGAAAAAAAAGCAAATATTTTCCAAGGATGAGACTCAATTGACAGTATTACCATTAATGAAGCAATTTCTACATCAAAGAGATATTGTAAGTGTATTTTTAACACAATCCAACCCATGAAGAATGTAAGACAGGTGACTCAGGTGAAAAGAGATGCATCAGGCCTGAAACATTAGCCATTTAAAGCACCAAACTCATTTCTTTTGCTTCCATTCCATATTTACTAATCTTCTCATTATAATTTGGATCTGGCTTTCACTGTAATTTGCTCAGTACAGAGAAAGTGAGGATCAGCAAGCTTAAGTATCCTACCTCCTTCATCATTACA